ATATTCTAAAAACTGTATAGTTTAATTAAATAATATTCTATTGATTGACAATATTTTCTTATTTGTTTATATTATATTAAATGAAAAATGCTTGAGTATAAATAATAGTTGAACAATATTGACAATAAATATCTGTTTAATCAAATTTTAAATGTTAGTCTATGTTAACAAACTATTACAACTATAAAAAGCACTATTATTGATATGTTAAATAATAATAATAGATATCTATTCAAGATGAAATATTTTTCATATAATAAATCATAGTTAAATATTTGTTTATTTATCTCGATTTGAACTATTTTGATAAGAGTAATATTCTTTTGTTTTTCTCTAGAATATCAATAATAACTATCACATGACATTCAAATAGGTGTTTATTGAAGAATAATTATATATAGATTAGTGAAAAAGTAAACGAATAACCTTGATAACTACCTGAAAAATAAAAATATATTAAAAACAAAGCCTTTATTTTTCTTTCGTTATTATTATAACTTTAATAAATCTTATTTAAAATGATAAATATTATTTTTCTTAGCTCGTTCAACAAATGATCTATATGAATGAACTCGTCATATATATGTTGTGTCTAATGTTGAATATTTTCATGAACTATTTATTAAACAATATTATTATTTTAATTCTCGTTGACTTATTTTCATAATACAGTTATCAAATGAACATAATATAGATTTATTTGGAACTGTTCGAGACCGTTGGCTTCGTTAAAGGTATAATAATAATCCAACATTTTCTATTACTAAATTTAAATTAATTTCAAGATTAGTCAAAATTCTATTGAGACATTTATGGAAAATATTAGAAAAAAAAAGACAATATAACGGGTGAGTCGAACGTTTTGGCCCACTTGAAAATATTTCAGACGAGTCAAAACCTATGGATTAGAACCAGAATTTTGTTTTCTTTCAGAATATGGGCTTAGAAATTTTGTATCAGCTTTTGTTCGAGAGTAGTGAGGAAATCTTTGAAAGGCCTGAAAAATTAGTTTGGATGGGAAATTTTTTCGAACTTTTTTATATTTTAACTATTGCGATTCGAAACTAAAAGTTGGAACCTTTACTAATCTATCAGCTGGTAGAGGAAAATCTGCCCTACAAAATGTACTATTGGAGTTTTTTTTGGTTGTTAGGCAAGACATCTCAATTTTCGTTTTTCCTGTACTCTCATTTTGAGAAGTCGACTTTTTGACCAAGAGGCGTTTTCCACAAAAAGGAGCTCCTGATAAAATACATATAACTTTATTTGTGTAAAAGCTACAACCTAATTCAATATCACATTTTGTAGATAAGTGTCCGATAACTGTTAGCATCTTTGAAAAGGTATATATATGGGTTAGAAAAAAGCTGTTTATGGGTCGTCTAAATGAATTTTTAAGGCCTTTCAAAGATTTGTTCACTGCTCTTGGACAAAAATAGATGTAAATTTTCTGAGCCTATATTCGGAAACAGGACAAAATTCTGGTTCTAACTTATACTTTTTGATTCGTTTGAAATACTTTCAAGCAGGCCAAAATGAACAAACATTGTGCCCAGAAACTTCGGCTCACATGTTCCGTTCAAACTATTTTTTCAGGCCTTTCAAAGATTTCCTCACTACTCTCGAACAAAAGCTGACACAAAATTTCTAAGCCCATATTCTAAAAGAGCACAACATTCTGGTTCTAATCCATAGGTTTTGACTCGTCTGAAATATTTTCAAGTGGGCCAAAAATGAGCAAACATTTTGTTCCAAAACTTTCGACTCACCCATTATTTATATGAACATTTAAAATAATTAATAATCTATATTATAGATAAGTCCGTTTTCTATTTTAGCTTTGTTTTTTTTCAAAATAAAACATGTAAATATTAAATCTTATTTAAATAAAATCTATCGTTACTAAATGGTTAAGATTTATTCTATTAAGACTTATTCTATATGATAATAACGTACGATGCAAAAGTAATGGCACAAAATGTTTATCAGTATTTTACTTCGATAAAAAAGCGATGAAAGAAAGCTTTTTTTTCTTACCAAACGATAGTGCTTTTTCTCCTCTTTCGAATAGTATATCATTTATTTTTATGCTACGTCTATAAATTCACTGTACGAGTGTTTCTCTTTCTTTCTTGTCTCATTTCATTTATAAATATACATTAAATATAAATGATACACTTTTCGAAAGAGGAGAAAATTTCCTATCAATTAGTATCAAAACTCTCTTTTCAGCACGTATTTATCGAAGAGATATAAAGATCGACATTTTGCACCACGTTTCTACAAAAAAGTGCAGAATTTTTTAAAAGACAAGGTAAGGGTGTTATTTCACACAAGCTATGACCCATGGTGCTCAAACCAAGTGTCGCAAACTTAATTTCGATCCCATAGCTTTAAGGTGCGTCAACTTCTAAGTTTTTTGCCACAAACTACAGCTTGATAGCTCAAGCCATTGTTGAGATTTTCAATGTTTGATATAAGGTGCTGTTTCATCGGGTCACAATATAGTTATTTGTAGTGTTCAGTGACGAGCGTGCCATTTTGCACTGCCTCACTGTAGAGCCGTGAAAATTTCAGCATAGATACATCTTCACTTGCTCTACAAAATAAAACAAACTCGATCTGTAGATGTTGTTCCATTCTTGAGTTATAGGATCGCTAGTAGTGCAACTACACCATTCAATATCTTCTGCGTAACCGGCTCCATAAAGCTGAAACTTTCAGAGTAGATACTAGGACATTGGCGCTATAAAATGATGGAAAAAATCCTTGGCTCTTCAAGCAGAACTCGAGATATTATTATTCCTAGAATTGTTTGTTTTTCGTTTAATTATTTTTTTTTCGGTTTTGTTATTTTAGTCTGAGAAAAGAATAAAATTTGAAGACATGTATGAAATATTTTAGGAATTTCTAAGCACTAGAAAATCGAGCGATAATCATAACTTATTCTTCATACTGTGAGTATCACCATTTGATTATAATTATAGTCATGGGTGCATTAAGTATAATACCCATATTGATTGACATAAATAGTATATGATAATGTTCTTTTTTTTGTAAATTTTTGTTTATTTGTCAAGAAAATATTAAGCAATATTCTATGATTATATCTCCTCGTTTTATAATCATATTGGCTGTGATAACTGATAAACACATGACAACGCAAGATCATTATGGTTGATTGTATACAAGAAAAAGGCAAGCATATTGTAAAAGAAAATAATGGTAGTATGTCTCCATGTTGTTCGTCTTTCTTCTCTCAATAGAAATATACGTCGATAACTATTCTTTCGTTGTCAATAAATCTGCTACCATATTCATCCGTTCTGCATTATCCATTCTTGCACGACTATATGATTCCTGTTTTTTTTGTTCTTTGTCGATAGCATAGAAGAACAACAGAAATAACTCCATAAAAACTCAGATATTTACCGTTTATTCCATCATTCTCTTCTCACATTTTATATATGTTATGCAATAAAAATAGAGTTAAGTATTAATCTGCAATTAATCCCTTGTTTTCTTTTTAAAGTTTAGTTGAAAAAAAAACGATATATAAGAGACAATATGATGGGTTTTACTAAATCTCTGTTACATTTTGATATCAGTCTTTGATCGCAACACATCACAAATATATAAACAAGTAACGTTTCTCGTCAGTCCATTCACTTGCTTCTAGACTATTGAGTTTCTGATACAAATGGACATTCACGCATCTCTATCTGTCTGATAATACTAATGTCCGTTTCAAAATATAATGCGGCTCACCGTTTTTTTGAATAACTCAAGAACGCAATCAGCTAGAGTTCTGCGGTTTTCACCAATCGAAAGAAGAGACAGGGGGACGTCTTTTTCTCCAATATTGTATCAGACAAAATCATTTTAAAATCAGTCATTTCTGCAAAACATTGATAAAAATGCATGAAAACGACTCGGCATTCTAAAGAAATTTTCCTTTTGACATGTGATCTAGACAGAGGGACTTCGGATCTATACTTCAGGATATAATTCGAATGATTATCTTACCGCATCCTAACGTTTAGCAAATAAAATCGTCTATTTACTCGCAAGAAAACTATGAATTTCTTTTAATTTTGAAGCAATTTTTTTTACTTTTTGTCAAAATTTCATCTGAATGACAGACCATTTTTTCGATGTTATGCAGAAATGACTGGTTTCAAAATGATTCCGTCTGATACGATATTGAAGAAAAAGACGCCCCCTCCCCTCCCCGTCTCTTCTTTCGATTGGTGAAAACCGCAGGTCGCTAGCTGATTGCGTTCTTGAGTTATTCAAAACACAGTGGCACGCATTATATTTTGAAACGGACATTAGATATTCGTGATCAGCTCGAAAAGCTCTATCGAATGGTATATAAATAAGCGAAAAACAAAATGGTGTGGAAACTTTGAATTTGGACGACCTTAAAAGTGCTTTTCAATATAGGAATAACATACGCTTCATTCAAAAAACAGGCTCTCATAAGCACTGCAGTTTTACGCGTTCTTTCAAACAAAAAACCTATTGGGTACAATGAAGTTCCTTCGATAATTCATGGAGATGCGATCGAAAACCTACAAAACGAGAAAAAATGAAAAAGATTTTCGGTTTTTTCCGAAAACAGTCTATTTTTCGAATAGGATATGACAGAAATCTTCAAAAATTTTTGGAAAAAAAGGGGCTGCCAAGTGAAAATTTTTGTCGTTTATGAGAGATCAGATAACGGGCTATCTTTGCATGCATTTATCTTAATTTCGGCCATTCTGATGTAAAGTGACTTTTTTGAGGGAGGGGGTGTCTGTGTCGACAAGTGTGATTCAAAAAGTTTAAATTTATTTACTGTAGAGTTGTACGACGACAGGATCAGTTCAAATGATGAAAGAAAAAATATAGTTAATTGAAAAATAAATCAATCAGCGTTTGATAAATGAAAGAAAATTATAAAGGGAATATCCATGGAGACATATTGAAGTGAAATGTGTCGGACTCATATTTCGCAAATCTTATTGTTAGAGAAGAAATGGACAGAAAGATTTAGTCACTAAATTTCTTTCGCGGTAAACATGTGGTTGTTAATGTGAGCATGTGGACTTCGGATGTAAGCCTGTATGTGAATATGAATGTTCACCGTCTGTGTAGCTAGAAAGTATTAATGTACTGGTATCTACACCACACATCCACACCCCTAAAAATTGAATATTTTTTGAGTTACAAAATAAGATACCAAAACTAAAAAATATTAATTCATCAGTTAAGCTTTAAGTCTATTAAAATAGAATACAATACAACGGTTAATGTAATATATGAGAAAGAGATTAAATAGAAGGGATAGTTCATTTGAGTCAATTTTCGATCGCTATCAATATACATTTAAATCCATTCTAAATCGTATCACTCGATGACCTGAATATTCAATCGCATAAATATTTCCCTTTTGATCAAACAATATCCCAGTGGGATTGCTGACTTGATTGGATTGTTCACCAGGACCTCGTCCACCAATGATAACTGTTCCTTGCGTAGCTCCTTTAACCCACCGCATAATTCGATGATTACCGTAGTCTGCTATATACATAGTATCCAACTGATCGATGATTACTTGATGAGGACGATATAATTGATTAAGACCATTACCTTCTCCTTGACCACCAGCTACAATAATACCTTCTTTTCTACCTTTCATCCACTTGACTATACGATTATTCCCATAATCTGATACATAGACAGAACCATTTTTAGTAACAAACATATGTGTAGGGCCATTTAGTTGATGAAGACCATCACCTTTTCCATTTCCACCTGCTACAATTCTCCAATGCTTGTCTCCGATCTTCAAACGTCCAATCGAACAATCATCATAATGAGCGAAGTAGAGAAAACCTTCTTCATCCATTGTTAAACCATAGCAGCTGACATTAGAAATCATGACTTCTGGTATTGTATCTTTCGCACGTGATAATTGCAGTATTCGTTTATTTTCGAAATCACAAATTATCAAACTATCTGTTTTACTATCTAAAATTACGTCTGTCGGACGACTTAACTGATCATTTCTATTTCCTTGTCCATTTCCACCGGCAACGATTCGACCAGTTAATGAATCTAGCTTCCATTCAATGACACGATGATTTCCGTAGTCGGCAATATACATGGTTCGATTTCTATCAATAAACGCATTTAATGGACTTTTGAGTTGATTGAGCCAATGACCATCACCATTGCCACCAGCGACAGGAACACCATTTTGTATCCAATAAGCATTTTCAGGAATAAAAGCACTACGTAGTGGTGCTGCAACGGAAAGCATAACGCTAAGAATTAATCGAAATGCAAAGTTCATCTCAAAAACGGTATGTTCGCTCCTCTATGAGTTTAGGAAAGGAATACAATGTAGTTCTGAGAATAAAATATCTGATTGAATCGTGAAAATCAACATTGTAGTAGTTGTCATCTCAGTGATGATCAGAATTACATGAGTCATCCGAGGATCAATCATACGGAAATCAGTGTCTTCATCTAATTAATCACAATCAAGTACACAATTAAAGGTACTACATCTCGTTTGCATGTTTTTCTCTTTTAGCACTCATGTTGTGTTCAATGTAACCGACTATACACTATACAACTTTCAGGAACTAGTATCATGTTTTAGATTGAAGCCGTTTGTACAGTCTATGAGAAACACTTTAAACTGTAGGTTAATACTACTCTTTAAGAAACTATTTTTAAACTTTAAAAACAATATATTTCATATGATTTCGTATACTATTCTTTATTTAACATTTTAGTCATCTTTCTTACTAGTCAAGAGCACACAAAAAAATGCTGGTAGTCCGTCCAAGTTTAGTTCTTTTGTCTTTATGTATACATCCTCATTAGATTTTAGGCATAACCTAGTGACAAATCCTTTTCTGCAATTTTTAGCGTCACTTCTAGCTCTTTCTAATTGAACCCGCTAAATTAAGAACGCTTTCCTGTATTTGATGTGGGTGTGAATCCTGATGTAAAGGACTACAGTTGTATAGAGCCACTCACATCGAGACTCTCCTAGTGGAGTTGACTTGCTCATTGAAAACCCTGCGAGAAGGTAGGAATTTGATTACGTTATAAAAAAAAGATTCACACAAGTATTTGAAATATTCATTTCTAAATTCCATGCATTTAATTGATTTTAAACATGATATTAATTTTTATAAAATTGGTACGTTTTTAATCAATACTGTGAAGATACTAGAGCAAAATAGTCATTTTTACTCTATCTCGACTCTAGTTGTACATATTATAAAAGTGATCTGTCTCGACAACTTGATCTATCCTGCAATTTGAAAGATCTAACGTAGCTCTAATTTTTGTCAAACAAATGACGACCTAGTATTTCGGCTTTCTCGAGATATTCTCAAAATAATTTCTAATACAAAAAGTAACCTACATGCCTCATAGATGTTTATAACGATTGGCAATACTTCTAACATGTCGTACCAATACGCATACTAAGCGCTAACCAGAATGCTGTGCTTCTATTGTGGAATCAATGGAACGTTTAAAAGAGAGGTATAATGGAAAAAGGAGAAAAATTTCTATATTTGGCGAGCTCAATGTAATCAACACAAATACTATTAAGGTTTACAAAAAATAGTATCAAAATATGTTCCGCAAGAAAATCTATTGGTCTATATAGCTTCAGAGCACTTCATGTAGAAGAAGTGAGTAAATCGATCTGTAATCTAATGTGTTACCATCCGTATGCATGATTTTTTTAACTTACATGTCAAACTTGAAACTTGAATTCAATTATTGAAAAACTTTTTCAAGCATTCAAATATTCAAATCTAACACGTGTCTCTCATTGTTGATGCACAAAACGATATACATGAAGTGTCTCGCAGTGGAAGTATAATGAAACAACATACATTGCGTATTCATTATTGTGGGTGCCATAAAAATATTTAAATATATGAATAATTGGATATTTGAAAAGGTTTTCAATAAATGTATTCAAGTTTCAAGTCTGTCACTACTGCATTGCAGAAGTTTGTCGTACTGTAAAATTGGAAAGTAATATATCCATATCATAATATAGAAATTGAAGTAATACAACAAAGTCATGTATACGAATACATTCATCAAAATTATTTACGTTCTAGAAAAAATTCACAACTTCTTGAATTAGAACGAATATATACGTACGTTTTTCACATCGATAACCCTCCCAAAACGAATCGCACTAAAATATTATACAACATATGAATATATTCAATAGAGTTCTGCTACAGACTTACAGTACAAATGTTTGGTCCAGTGCAGTTTCCATTGTTCAAACATTGAGGTGAACATACGGCTAAGAAATAGAAAATAATCATTTTACGATCATTTCTTTCAATGTAAAAGTGCTCTGAATGTGTATAGTTATTAGATAGCTTTCCCAAAATCAATTGAGAATAACTAGTTTATCAAATTTTAATACAACATCAATCCGCGAATAATAAATCAATACATACGTATTTGACATAGAGTTCCGGTCCATAACGACGTACACTAAACAATCCAAAAAACGTGAGTGAAAATTTTTCTGAAAGTCCATTTTAGACCTACCGTACAAACGTTCGGTTTGGTACAACTGCCACCGTTTAAGCATTGTGATGAACACACGGCTAAGAAATATAGAAAAATCATAGTCCAATTATTGCTTTCAATAAAAAAAATCGAAATGTCTGCATCAATATTAGTAAATTTCCATAAAATCAGCTATGAAAGTGATTGTTTTATCGAATTTTCTACGACACTAACCAATGAATAATGAATAAATACGTACGTGTTTCACATAGAGGTCCACTCCATGATGATGTACACTAATGAAACACATCAGGTATGAGTGTGTGGTCAATCGCAAGAACCTAGGGAACTTACGGAACAGGATTTAGACTCAGTACAGTTTCCATCATGTAAACATTGCAGTGAACACAAATCTAAGAAATAAAAAAGAATATTCCGATCATTTGTTTGAGATTGTTCGCGTAGGTGTATAAAAAATTAAGTATAGAATATCAAAAAACGAATCGCTTTTTAAATGCGACATAAAATACAGAAAGATCGAATAGACGAAGATTCATCTCAGACATAGAATGAATTACCATGGAAAAGAATATCGAGAAAATTCTCGTATGACTGAATGTATATATCTCCAACTCAACTTAGATCTCATTCCATAATTAATCGGAGATGGAAAAACTCGATTCGTTCGCTAATGTCAGCTATGTTCTAATACAGTTAATTTCAATGACTTTTAGATAGCCTGATCGATAAATGAAGAAATTAAAAAGAAAACTGTAGACTAACTTGATGACTTCAGAGAGACAAAATGAAGGAAATATAGAATGCTGCTTTAAGCAAAGAGTTATAACAAAGAAAGAAAATAGCAAGTCATCTTACCACCTTTTTTTGCCAGTGTTTCTATCGGTTCGCTAAGACCACTGATTGCACTAAGTCCGATTGCAGTTACAGATTGTACTTTGAATTCAAATGACGTTTTCGATGGCAGATTCCAAATAATTATCTCTTTCTGGTTAGACTTTGTGTAAATTTCAGTCCATTTTTCCTGTTTCTCATTTTCATCATTATCACTCAATGTTTTATTCTTGTACTTTCGATACAAAACTTTGTAGTTCTTTACTTTTTCACTTCCACTAGCTTTATCTGTCCACCGGAGTATTATACTATTATCTGTAACAGACTTCGAATATGGTGCATCTGGCTTGCTAGGTATGATAAAACCTTGTTTTTCTAACCCATCTTCATAGAGAATAAGTTCAGCGCTCTTAACATTATTAACTGCATATCCTTCATCAACGATAAATTTGATTTTTTCATTTTCATGCTTATTTCCCTCGACGAATTCTATAAAGTTTCGTAAATTTTTGCGAATTTTAGCCATCATATGACGATCTGTAAACCATGTTTTGCGTTTTAGTAGACTCTTGGATGAATTAAACTTGGTCTTATCGTATTGATAATTATGCATATCCACAAGTTGAGGATCATTTTCTTCAACGAAACGAAATGACAGACAGAAGATGTATTCATATCTAGTGTCACTGATGACTTCATCTAGTGATGAAGACTTTATAATAATATTTGAACTGACGTTTTTAGCGAGATTTTCGATCCACGTCGTAATTAATGTGATTTCTTGTTGTTTTTCTCTTAGCCATGATTCTAATTTGTTCTTATTAAATGGCGATACATCAATTTGTTTAAACACATTAAATAAAACAGATTCTTCAACACCAGTACTTCCACGTATTTTCGGAAGATACAATGCGATTTTTTCTTTCAAGTCACGTTCGAATTCCGATAATCGTGCGGCAAAATCTGATAAATGTTCATTCATATAAGTAAAATATGTAAATAATGTACTCTTTGACAAATCCAATGCTTTCACTTCCATCGAATGGAGATTTTCAATCACCGATATTGAGTAATCAACCAACTTTGATGAAATCTCTCGAACGAACCTCATTGCTTTATTATCTAATAAGTTTAAGGGATAAAGCCATACCTTTTTTGGTACAGCATTCTCATTTTTTTCACCCAAAAGCGATGGTAACTGACGATAAATTCTGACAGCTTCCTCAAAGGTGCTGGGATTTTCACTCACACGAAAATCACCATAAAATTTGCAATTCATCTTATCAACGAAATATTTCTCATTTTCACTCATATTTAATTTGGCTTTCCCATCGATTTGAAATCCTGGAATTTTTTTAATCATCACATGTAACGTACCACTAATTTCTTTTTTCGATTCTCCAGCTGATATTGTTCGATCGAATACAAAGAAAGCTTCGGCACCGTAAAGAACTCCAGTAACGACGTGTGTTGCAAGGTCTAAGTCATGCAAATCTGGATGATCTAGATTACCTTTACCAAGATGTTTCATTGTCAATTGTTCGAAATGTGTAGTTGTGGAATATTTCAGTGTCATTCGGGTTTCATGAGTTGTTTTTTGATAATCCTCAGCAAATTTTGCTGAGCCTGACATACTGATTAGACCACTGTGCATACTTAGCTTTAAACTAGCTTCGACTCCTAAAGCATATGCCTTCTTCTGTAATGAATCTTCAGTAATTACTTCATAGCCAGTATACGGTTGAGTACGTGTATTCGTATTATTAGCCAGGTTTTCAGGATCCCATAGAGTAGCACCGGTGATTATCTTATCAGTGCGAGCATCATAGAGCATTCCCAAATAAAATGGACGTCCCAATGCAGCCATTGTGATTGGTTTTTGTTGAGCCATTACTTTCAATGATGAACAAAAAATGATGAAAACCGTCAAGCATGAAGTCAGCATTGAATTTTGCTATATCCTTCTTTTATGAAACTAAAATTCAAACAAAACATCATGTTTACGACATACAAACTAAACAATGGTTTCTATCAATGAAATGTGGAACAATTTCAAAATATGCATAATAATATGATTTCATGATTTTGAGTCTATTGAAGTTCTGTATTTGAATGTAGAGATTCTTATTCAGAATCACACTCACACATTTTGCAACGAATTTTTTTATCCGTTGTAATGCATAGAACATTCAATCTATCAACGATAGATGTAGAATATATCAAGTTCAATTCTAGCTACATAAAAGTATGAGGGTGTCAAAAAAATCACAGTATATAAACTGTTACATTTTATGATCAGAATTTTTCTTTTCCATTCGGAGAGAAAAATTTTGATTTTTAAATGGTAGTGATTGAATCATTATATTTATTGTATAACTAGGTATCATTACTGAAGTTGTAAAGTGTAAATATTATATATTAAATAGAATAATATTCTAAATGTAGGAGAGCTAGCTGAGACAGATGGTATTATATATCTTAATTTAAATGGTTACGTTAATATACTGAGACAAGCATTATCAGATGAAGCACAAACTCTACAGTCACGTAACAAATATTAAAGGAATAATCGATAAATAATATTCAAGTTTATCTGTATTAATAGCTTTTCAGTAATTTTGGGGAAAAAAAATCTAAAGTCGTATGAGTGTTTATCTATCTATATGACAATCAAATGGTGTATATATATACACTTGTGTAATTGTTATTCAGAGTCGAAAGCTTTCGTTACAACAATTTGTTGATGAAAACGTTTTGATAAGAATCGTAATTATAGGTTCCTCCATAGTTGATAGTTCTATCCATTGTGTTGACAGAAGAAAATATCAATAACTGTCTGCATATGCATCAATGTACGAAGATGCTTAAAAAAAGACATCAACATCCTTATATCAAAACTGATTATGTCAGAAAAATATCTCTATTTTTTAAGTACACTCTAATATTAATTTTCTGCAGTTCATTTGCTGGTAGTGTGATTAATTTTTCACATTAAAAAGATTGTTATTCATTTATATAAATAAAATTTCCATTGAAATTTTTCTATTTGTCTTAGTATTTCATAGGCTTTTTTTCTATCTGTTAAATTCTGATAAAATTATTCTTGAAATTGTTTAGCAGCTACGTCATTAATTCAATACCTATACTCATTTTTCATTAATCTAAAGCATAATAAATATCTTCCTTAGAGTTCCATCGAATGTGATATAGCTGAGTTCATACTAATTATAAGCATCAAAATTTCGATCATTAGGTTCATTTCAAATATTGAAATTACATTTTTCAGATTAACTTAGATGGGAATTTCATCGATTTTTTTCTGTGTAGCGTACTCTAAGAAATACTCATCGGTTTGTTGCTGTGTAATGGAAATATATTGAAAGTTTCACATTTCTTTTTTTTTGTTCTGCGTTTCCACATTAACTAATGAAAAATCATGAGAAAGAATACTTCATTGATGTCTAATTCTTTTCGCGTTGTTTTATAAGAAATCTAATTGCTCACAGATTCTTTTCTTATAAAGAAAACAAAGAAAATTCTCAAAAATTTTTTAAAATAAAAAGTATAGAGTATCAAATGAAGCTTTATTCAACAAACTTATAATTGCAGTTATCATGATAAATCATCTCGACGATATGATCTACATAGTAGACATTTAACAAGTATATTATTCTTTCTTTTATTCACTATTTCATATAATATCAATAGCAGGAATATGAGTATATAGTAGATTTTTGTCTACGGGAGAACTGCTTGCATTTGAATGCCAGAAGATCGCTCATTTTCTAGTTAGATCACTGTTCTCATTGTAAAGCTAATAAATTCTAAGCTTTATTTGCCCATAGCTGTAACACTTTCCAGATAGAAGAAGTTCTATCGTTGACAGAATTATTCTTGACTTAATTTCCTTGCAGTGTCAATCTCATCAGTCATATACAAAACGTTCGGTTATATAAGTAAACAGCAAAAGAAAGAACGAAGAGGAAGTTTAATCATAAAAAGAACTGTAACAGTCTAAACATGTTGATATCAATGATAGGAAAGGACATA